CAGTGGCCGATACGACGCATGATGTATCTGGGCGACCATACATACCATTCGCAGACTGCATACAGCTCCACCCTTCGCCTGACAACCAACGTTTCGCAACAAACTTTTGGCACCGAACATTTGGCAATGTTGTAACTAGAACTGCTTGTGTACTGTCAACAACTGAACGCATGAAGAGATGATGAGGCGCTAGGAATTGCATCAAGGACGCTGATGAACGGATTGAATATAAAGGACGGAACACCTGTTGTCCTTTTGCCTCGGCTGTGTACCGTTGCCGTGGAGTCAAGCGTACGCTCAGGTATCGCCACCCCCTCGATCCTGCCCGCCGTCGTCAGCAACAAACATTTGACCGAAACACTTGAACGTTTGGCCGCCAGCCAATCGCCAGTCGTAACGCGCGTAATCGGCCGGCCCTCGATGATGCAGCCCCGCCACTTTACCCTCCCCACCCACAGCCCACCCCACTTTGGAGGAGCCTCGCGGCGCGGCAGCCAGCCGCGCCAGCGCGCCTCCGCGGCGCCGGTCCCCGCCCAAGCCGCCGCTGGGCCACCGGCGCAGCGCCGGGCGGCCGATAGGGGGGATTTCAGCGGGGCGGGAGGATCGCAGGCGTGGCCCCGCGCCACGATGAGGGCCCAACAGATGGCCGAGGACTCCGAGCAGCGCCGCCTGCTGACTCTGGCCGTGCAGTCTCAGCTGAGCCGGGTGCTGTCCAACTCGCCCGACGAGCTGGCGGAGTACATCGTGGTGCTGCTGGCGCACGGCAAGTCGGAGCCGGAGATGGGCGAGGCGCTGTCGGAGTTCCTGCAGGACCAGGCGCCGCGCTTCGCTGCCTGGCTGTTCAGCCACCTGGAGCGGCACAGGCTGGACTACGGCGGGGCGAAGTCAGCGCCGATGGAGCCCGAAGGCCGGCTGCCCGCGTCGCTGAAGAGCCGGCTGTCGCGCGTGAAGCGCGACTGGCGCAGCGCCCAGGAAGGGGGGGCGGGGGCGGGGCAGGGATCGGCGGGGGAGGGGGCCGTTGGGAAGCCCCCGGCGCGGAGGCCGCTGCAGGGCGGAAAGGCGGAGGTGGATCCCGGGGACGATGCACCTGTGCGGCGGTGCGGGGATGACGGGCCCGCGTCGAAGCGCAGCCGGCTCTCGTCGCCCGTGGGCGATGGGGGGGCAAGGGGGAGAGGGGACAGGAGGGCCGGGAGGGCCGGCGAGCCACCCAGCCGCCTGGCGGCCACGGCGCTGAAGTCGCTGCTGGGCGGCGGGCGCGAGGACAAGCCCCGGCCGAGACCCAAGGCCACTCCGGCCAAGGCCACTCCGGCCAAGGCCGCACCGGCGAAGAAGGCTGAGGGGGATGGGGACAAGGGTGGCCGGTTGGACGTTTTCAAGCGGCTGGGCGGTGCCCCCGCGGACGGGGGGGGTGCCAGGCACTCCTTTCCGCCGGGAATCGTGCCCGGCGGGCGGACCAGCGTGTTCAAGCGGTTGGCGGACAAACCGCAGGGCGTGAACATGCAGGTGCGGATGGACAACCGCACGATCCAGGGCGGCCAGTCCACGACGTTCATGGTCACGGTGGACCACGCGCCGCAGGTGCCCCAGTCGCGCGGGTCCTTCGACCGCAAGCCCGCCGAGTCGGCCCCAGAGGGGGGGCCGGGGAGGTACGCGCCGTCCGCGCCGAAGAAGGCCCGCCCACCGCTGAAGTCGGTAGCTGAGCCGGTGAGCGAGTGCCCCCCCGGGGATAAGAAGGATCGGTCTGGCAGCGGTGGGCAGGACGCGCAGTCTGAGGTCGAGCGGCTGAGGATGAAGCTGGGCCAGATGGAGGAAGACATCGCGAAGCTCCGGGCCAAGGGGCTCATGCTGGAGCGGGAGTCGGACGCACGGGCCAAGGGCGAGGCGGGCTCGCCGCCACCCGAGCAGCCGCGCTCGCCCACGTCCGTGATGGCGGACATCGACCGCCGGTGCGTGGTGGTGCAGAACGTGCACTTCCACGCCACCAAGGAGGTGCTGGCCGCGCACTTCGGCCAGTGCGGCCGCGTGGCCGACGTCACCTTCGTGCTCAACACCTTCGGCTTCTCCAAGGGCTACGCCTTCGTGGAATTCCAGGACGCCAGCTCTGTGGAGAAGGCGCTGGCGCTGTCGGGCTCTCTGCTGATGCACAGGGTCATCAAGGTGATCCGCAAGGAGACCAGGCTGCCCGGCAGCGGGTCGTCCAGGCCGCCCGACCAGGCATCCCCGTCTCCCTTCCACCCGGGCATGGCTGGGGCGGGCGGGCGGGGGTGGAGGGCCCCCTATAGGCGGGCCAGCGGGGGTCGGGGGCCCAGGCCGCCCTTCAGCCGCCCCCCAAAGGGAAACTACAGATACGTGCGGGGGGGGTCAGACCCGTTCCCAGCTCCGCTGTCCACGGCGCTGTCCGGGGTGGCTGGGATGTCCGTGAGCGGCACAGGGGACGGGATTGTGGACGGCAGCAACGTGACAGGGACGGGGCTGGAGAGTGCGAGCTGCGAGCCTGCCTCGCCGGGGTCCATGGACTTGGAGATCATGTGTCCCCCCGAGACTGTGAACAGCGTGGAATCGGGGATGCTGGGGATGCTGGATGGGGAGCTGGGAGAGTATTGAGGGGCTTGGTTGTGGGGGGGTGGGGGGTGGGGTGGGGTTGCAGGCGGGATGGGAAGGGGGGCCTGTGTGGCTGGTGTTGAGGGGGCAACGCAGCAGGTCAAGGCAGCTCACATCATCAACAGATATGTTTCTCTTTAGGGGTAGGATTGGGATGGAGGGGTGTGCAGGGACGTGGGTGTGTGGGGGGCATGGCACGGGGACGAGGTAGGGAGGGATATCAGCAGGGAAGAAAGAATGGCATCTCAAAAAACAATAAGAAGATACAGTAGATACAGCAATGGACAGCAGGATGGCATGTGCACTGTAGGATACAAACAGGCAGGAACACACAGACGGCGTGCATGTCCTTTCAGTGGTGGCAACAGACCTTGGGTGTGGACAAGAAAACTAACAGTATCATTATAAAAAGGATCGTGTTGGCAGCCCCCAGGCCAAAAACAGGAGGAGTATTAGGTATGCATAGATGGGCTGAAAGCAAGCAAGCCTTGTGGGTCCAGGCAGTGCTCCATGGTACAGTGGCCCTGGCACAGTGACACAGTGGCACCTGGTAGCCCTCAGCTTCTTGTTCCGAAACTCATCGTTGAATCTTTTGGAAGACGCTTTGGCCTGCGGATTTTCTGGAACTTGGCAGGTGCCCGTTGTTGACCAACGCACGAGGCTGCCTATTGATTTCATTAATGCTTCGAAGTGCGCCCCCTGTAACGAATTCGGGCTGGTTCTGTTTGCACGATGGGACTGCTGCAGGGTCGCACATCGCGCAGCACATGGTTGAAAGATTTGCAACGAATGTGTTTCCCCTTGCCCTGAACTATGGCATCAAAAGATTTGCTGACATCTTTCAGCAAGCCCTGCAAGGGAACGGGTGTGGGGGGTCCTGCGCCCTGTGCAGCCTCAGTCCCATTCCACAACGAGTGGTCTTCGTTGGGAGCTGACAGGCAGCCGGAGATGTTCCAGCAGAAGAGACTCTTTCATGGTGCTTCAATGAGAATTGTTGCTAGGCAGAGAGCTGCAGCGCAAGGTGAATGGGAATGTTTGTGTGCTGAGCCGGGCTCTAGATCTGGCAGATCCACAGGCAGCACAATGGTGACAAATGCGCACCACATGTGCGCCAGATGGACGCCACCACAGCTGCCGTCTCATCAATGTGCGGAACGAAGCATGTGCCGATTCGCAGCGTTGATGCAGGTCAACAACAAGGGCACGTGGACCCGACTCGACTTCATGGGACGAACAGCCTGCGTGCATGCAATTCCACATTGAGTGTGGCAGCAGCCTGGTTATGTTATCGTTTTGGAGTTCTTGATCCCCCACGCAAAGCTCCACAGCGAAGCAAACACTGGCAGCCAGGCGAGGATTGCTTCAGGATTGCGGGAGGCCAATGCGAGTCGCAGTGCAACACTGCATGAGGGAAAAACACACTTTGATCAACAAGCTTGGCGAGGTTTTGGCTTCGGCGTGCGGACCCAGTTACGCCACTGCTTGCAGCCGATAACGCCCCAAATCACCGCCCAGAATACCCAGAAGATACCCCAGAAGATCCTTCCGCATGTTGATGTGCATTCCCAATGCCTGGCCAGCACCATACCGAACGTCGCCGGGCAGTGAAGGCAATTGGCGCTCTGATCACGAGCTTGATGGATCGTCAGTCTTATTTGCTGCGTGTGCAGTTGGCAAAGGATGGAATTGCAGCGACACAAACGCTTGCCCGCAATGGGCACTGGGTGGTTGACGTGTGCAGTATTGGTGCACTGGCGTGGGCCACTGGCATGACAACCAATTGTCGATGCGCTTGACACACACAACAGCCAATTTGCATCGCCTTGCACAGAGGCAATTGACAATGCTGCGTTACTTCAGTCGCAAAAGCAATCTGCAGGGGGACACTTAACCCCAAGTTGGACGTCTAATTGTTATTTCCCGTCCCCTCGTGTGCACAAACAAATTCAGCTGATGTCTTACACAAGCTCAGACATCCGCGCGCGCTGTGCACGCACTGTCCTCTAGCTAACCCGGCAAGCTGAGGTCTTACACAATAGAGGTTACAAGAGTTCTCGCATCACACAAGGTCCAATTGTTGACAATGACACCAGTGACATCCACCCAACGACCCCAAGCACACCATCGCGTGGTCTCCCAACTCGCAATAGGCGCTGCAGCGATCCCCCATCTGAAGTTTGTGGTGAAGCGCAAAGTGATCGAATTACTGATCGATTGACTACCCCACACCCTTGCGCTCACGCCACAGGCACAGCTCTTCGATGATGACGCACGACATCAATGTCGACTCTCCGGCATGGTCCCAATGTCCCTCCTGCACCCTTGAGGCCAGTCTCCACGACAGCACTTGAAGTCCATACAGTGGCACGAACATCAGTGCAGCCTCCCGCGCTTCAGCCTCAGTTGGGCGTTGGGTCTTCCTGTGGAGAACAACAGCGACAGAACATGACAACTGCGCGACATTTGCTTCCTCTTTGCTGTAAAGGTGACCTTCATGAAGAGCAAGACAACAAGTTCACCACAAATTTGCGAGTTGGTCTCGTTCGTGGATTGAATGGGTGACGCACGACAGTGAGCCACACAATCCGATGCTGCACTCTTTGGACAAGCCGCAGCACAATGCGCATTGTAGCAGATGGCAGCTGCCGCCAGCAGACAGTATGGAACGGACATCAAGCAGTTCTGTACATTCGGAAAGAATCAATCTCAATGGAAGAAATGTACACCTGACACTAGAACCTGCCACGCGCAGCCTGCACCAAGGTCTTTGCGACACACATTACCGTGTTCGAAAGGGCAATCGGGTTCTCAAACTAACACAAGCAGCCTGGTGTTATCAGTGCGTGCCGCCATGGTCTGCGCCACCACAGACTGCACCATGGGCGGGTCCTCACCGTCATGCGAATGTACTTCTTGCCCGAAGGCACTTCCACCACATCATAGCTGCCGAACTTGCTCCTGGCGGCTTCATCGCTCAGCGTGGGAAGCACCATGCACTTGTCGCCGTGCTTCCAGTTGACAGGCGTCGCAACGCTGGTTCGCACACAAATGGCCAAGTGTGAGGCCAGCACTTCAGGGCCCACTAAGGCTCACACCGCCAGCAATGGGAAACAGTCAAGAGCAGGGACCAAGCCAGAATTTTCACAAGTTCCACATGGCAAGGTGGTGCACGTTGCAGTGATGCTCACGGCAAGCGACGCGTTCTACATCCAGCAACGTGCTTCAAAGCAAACACTTGCGAACTTCTCTTCAGTATGCAGCAAGCGCCAATCTCTGAGTGCATCTGCAGTAATGACCAATCCCAAGTGGGTAGTCAACCATCTATGCTCGCACGTTCTCGACAATCACAAGATGGTCTGACAGCTCCTGAATACAATGCAAGTGTGCCAGGTCCGCCTATTGCACAAGTTTCTTCCCACAAACACACACTACAGATTGCAAAATGAATTTCCTCATCAGCGGTACTCCATGAGAATTGATAAATATCATGAGATATGAGATAAGAAACGCACTTCACAGAGCACAAAGCACTTTGACAGGCTGCTAATTGTCACCTGTGGTTGACTGTGAGCTGCAGTGAGTCGATCACCCTCAAGACTTCAGTGAAGTTTCGGCCAGTGCTGGCAGGGTACAGGAGGGAAAGCTTGAGCTTCTTGTCGGGTCCGATAATAAACACGGCTGCAACCCATGAACCATCAAACAAGGTCAATTCTCAGGGATACCAAGGCAAACGAACTGTACAATGGCAACTGTCACAACTGCCTGGATGTGCCAATTCCAAGTGCTGCCAAATGAATTCTCCGTATGCAGGCCGCTGCTCCGCTGCAAGACGCAGACACAAGATGAAGAGAAGGCACGCACTGTGGTCAATCAGCTCTCAGTTGTACTTAAAATGGACAGCTGGATGTCACAGATATTACCCATTGCCAGCCCTGGCTGACAATGGCCAACGGCTTGTCTTAATGCTATTGTCCTTTGCTGAGCATAGCTGCAGTCTGCTGGGACACCATAATGGCACGTGTCACATTAACTAGCTTTCAGCAAGAATCCTACACCAATTCGATGCCTCGCCGAACGACTGAACATTGCATCGTTAGTTTGTCATCTTTCTTCCAAGCATCAAGGGTTTGTGTAAGCCATCATTTGCTTGCCCTGTCACTCACCCCTGCAAGCCATGGGCAGTCCAGCCGCACTCTTCTCATCTGGGTCGAGCATACCATACAAGGTGGCGAGCTCGCGGCCAGGGTCTGCGATGATTGGGTACGATACCTTGGACTCGGAACTCCACTCAGTGGCCTCAATGTCTTTGACCCATCCCTGGTAAACACATTCACATCCATCCACTTACTTGATCATGATCCTTCTTCAAGCATCAGCCAAGCAACAGCCCCAGTACATACTTGCACGCAGTGCTCTGTGTGTTGTGAAGCAGATTAAGCTCCCAGCACCGTTAGTGGTGCTTCCTGTACTCATGTGCATACTCTGAAGCTACAGCACTTCCCCTGGTTTGGGTCCCCGTCAGGGTGACAACCCATGCCCTCTAGTCTGCTACAATCCAAGACGTCCTCAACAATCTCGTCAATGGCAGGCTGCTGAGCCAAATATCATGGACTGGTTCACTGAATGAGCCAAGATTGACGTCCTGCAAAGTTGACGTACGGTTACAGACTTGTGAACAATCATGTAGTGAATTCGTTCAGTTACTGGAAAGGCTGTGCACTGGTGAGGCCACATTCAGATACAAACTAGTCTGTGACAACCAGGTCTGTGGGGTTCCAAATACAAATTGTGGGGAACCACAAGTGACAGGGTGCAAAGCATCGCTGAGCATACATAACGCAGTGCAGGGAACAATTGACGCCATTGTTATTCTCGCTGGAAGCACAACTCTCAAATGCCCTGTATATCATGGCTCCCCTCGTCTGTCCCGAGACTTTCGCAATAGCCCCTACTTCTCAGGATGAAGGGAAGGATGCACAGGTAAAATTCATACCCTTGCAGTCGACCTGCCTACAGGGCGCGGCTCCCTCCTTGCCGCACTTTGGGACTGAATGCTTGCAGACTTGAGCGCATCGCTCAACAGAGGCACCCACCCCAGTTTTACGTCAACAGCTCTGAAAACCCTGCTGCAATTGCAAGCTCTTTCAGCGAGCCGCGGGGGAATTCGGGGCTCACGGACGACTGAAGATGAGGCAACTGACCACCATAAGCCTTCTTGATGATGACAACAATGATGACTACTAAAGAAGTGTGACATCAGCTAAACGCTGCGACGCTGGCCGGCAGCCGGGCCGGGCTTCTGCAACATCACCATTCCATAAACAGAACCGACCCGGCAACGCCAGCGTCGGTAATGCCAGCGCGAAACTACTCGCTTGGAATCGCCCCGTCCCATCAGGTCCGTCATGGCTGACAAGGACCGGACGTTGCGGCCAGCAAGGGCGGCGCAAGGCACCCCGCCGCAACAAGACCTCACTCACCAAATGCGACTCCGTGTCGTTGCAAGACAGCGCGGCGACCTTCACACCCCTGAAGGCACACGCGCAAAGCGGCACACCGGTCAGGCCCTCCTCGGCACCTCGCCCGCCCCGACCAGAAGCTGGGCGGCGCAATTGCGCGATCGGCAGTCGGACGCGGTGGACGGCGCGGGGGGTTGTAGGGACACAGGAGCGGCGGATTTGGGGGGCGATTTCACCTCTTCTCGAACTCGGGCATGAGCGCGGCGACGGTGCCCAGCTCTGTGGTGCAGACCGGGGTGTAGTCCGCGGGGTGGCTGAAGAGGATCGCCCAGCTGCCATCTGCGCCGCGGTCACGAAACGACATGGATCACAACCCAATGCCGCGCCAAACGGCGCGGATACCCATCCGCCATCCGCCCGGAGCTAAATCGCGCCCGGCACCACGCCGCGGGATCCCGGAGGCCTTGCGGCAGTCGCGCAGCGGCGCTCGCCCCGCGCGGTCGATGGGGACCACCACATCGGAACTAGCCGCGTGGCAGGCTTAGCTCACACGTGGCGGGAATAGAGATCAGAACATGACGAGGGCGGCCGACGACAGGCCCAGGGAGCCATCGCATCGGCCGGGCGGCAGTGACCGACCCCGGGTGGTGGGATGGGCGCAAATGCGGCGGCATCGGCACCGGGTGTCGGGAAGGGCACCAGCACACGCGGGGGATTCCTTGCCTATGTACTTGTGCCACTCGATCGGACCGTTGGTCGTCTCCGCCTGGAAGTCCGGAACCTCATCCCCAAGGTGGATGGCCATGGCTGGAGGGTCGGCTGCGGGCTGGTGCGGGGGGGCGGACGGTGGGCGGTGGGGGCTCCCCGCTGGTGCTGCGTTTGTTCCCGCCGAATGCGGGGGCATAAATAGTCGACCAAACAGCCGTTAATGTGATCTTAGGTAATATTAGGGGGCGAGGGATAATGAACATAATGCTGTACGATTAAACCGCAAAGGGTTGGCTGCCTCGTCGCTTGTTTTCCCTGGGTACGCACTGGGCGGTCGCTGGGACGGGCGCTGGCACGTGTCGCAGGCAGAGAGATTTGAGGTATGGCCATCTGCTCCGAGCCATCGAGACGCTGAGCCATCGGACGCTTGCGTGCGAGCAGCCTGTGCGCGTGGGACTGCCGTAGTTACCCGGTGTTGGTACCCATCCTTCATCAGCATCCACCTCTGCTGGGGTTACACACGACATTGGTATCCATGACCCGGTGTTTGTATCCACTCCAGAACTCCCGTCAGGTCATTTACCATGACGCCGATCATTCCACGAAACGCCTGCCCGTGTTTCAACCAAGTGCTCGTTGGACCCACCTTGGCAAGATGAAGCCAGTTGCACCATTCCCACCGTCGCACGGACTCGGGGCCCTTAGAGAGCGCAGCAGGTACCTTGAAGGTACCGGTCTATTAGCCGCACGTCTGTAGCCATATTGCCGACGGGATGCACGTGCGATGGCTCCACGCCCCGCAGGTTTTGCCTGCACTGATCGATGAGGAAGGAGGTTGCTCAGTTTTCGGGCAGCCGAAGGGAGGTTGGGAGTGCCTGCAGGGCACACGCAAGCACTTTAACGAGGCTCGGATCGAACGCAAATCCGTCAACTCGAACGCGTGCAAGGGCATCTGAGGGACAGTAGGAGTGTGAGCCACGCTGTGTGGGAGGTGGTCAGTGGCCGTGGAGCCTCACTTCACCTGGTCGAATGGGAGGCAAGAGTGGAACATTCAAGGACCGCGGCTGCGCTTGGACATGACCACTTTGTTTCCCGGCCAGCTGTGGCTCTCTCGGCTGGCTCATGTTTCCTGCGCAATGACTTCTTGTTGCTTCTGGCCCATTTTGGCCATTTCCTGGGCCTGGCACTCAGAAATTCTCCGTCCGCTACTTTTACAAAGGATCCAAACAACGTTGGTATCCATGATCCGGTGTTAGCATCCACCGCATTGCTCCGGGGCTTCCTTTCAGGGATGCTAATGCATTGGGGTATGTGAACGAGCTGGCTTTCCTCTCATGTCTGTCCCGCATCACGGAAAGGCCGCATTGGGCGGAGGCATGTGGTTTGAGCGGTTGAGAGCTGGGTCGATTTAATGCAGGCCAACCAGCGTTTTAGCGAGGAACATGTATTGACTGCAGCAAAGCTGGTAGCAAGTTGTTGCCGTTGGGTTACAGAAGAGTTTTTTTGTCCATCCATTGGGAGGATTACTCTTCTAAAACTTAGAGGCGGGTTTATTCTGCCGGCGAGCGTTTTCTGTTGCTGCCACCAACGATAAGTGCTCATAGGCAGGATTGGGCAGAATATTCTTTTGTAGCCCAGGCAGGTGAGAGTGTGCTTCGAAAATCTGCGTGGCAACTCGCCACAGAAATTTTCTGCTCCCACTTAGGAGCGTGGCCTGCAACGCACACTGCGCTGGATGCCCACAGCGCAGCCCTCGCGGAACTTTACTCCATTGCATTGCCAGGAATGGTTGCAAGAACACATGCTTCCATGATTGACAGAGGGGAGTCACTCCCACTTCACTATTCTATCTGGAGGAAAACGTACAGCACCATAGTTTCGATCGTTTTTCGCTCAGAATGGCCAACTTCCACAGGGCGGGTCACTGAAAATTCTAAGAGCAGACACTGGCTTCTCCGCTAAACAAGCGACTCACGGCGTGGAACGCGCCTATAAAGCTGCCGCTGCACAAGTACAGAAAAGGAATAGGGTTGTTTATGGAGAGTTTCCGAATAGGTCTTATCAGGAAAATCTCATGAATCGACCAGCCTGTTTCTCTGTTTACTGGAAGCTTTTTCGATCACAACGTTTTGTGCTGAGAACGTATCGGTTTGAAAATCAAGAACGTTGGGCTGTTCACCAGCACATGCTATATCGCCAATATACAGCCTAAGGGGCTCGTCTGCAAGGAATGTGGTGGCGTCGGGACACTGCGCTTCATGTCGCCGTTTCTTCGAGCGGCCCCAGTCCACATTGGGCCAGCATCCTTGAGCTCTGTGCAACTAAAGGCTAACCACAAACCCAATAATGAGGCGATAGTAGTGATCGAGTGACCCACGCAGGGCCCCGAATCAGCACCAGCATTTCCAGCAGCGTGCTACGGACACGGACACATGAGGCACATGGAAGAGGGCTCAGGGGTGGCAACCAATACATCTGCCTGTGCAATGTACTGGAACAGAACGCACAAGGCACTCTATCCCCTGGGATTTTAGTGATGCGGTCAGTTTGCTGCACGAGCAGCACATAGTGTAGATTACAATCCCAGCCTGCCAAAACCACTCGCAGGCGCACCGTTCAGTGTACATTATAGTGTGAAGATGGCCACAAGTATGGGCCTCCATTCACCGTCGTTCTTGCTCCGCGTCCTTGAGGGCCCTTCCTACCCCACAGGGACGCCTCTACGCCAAAAAGTGGCATTGGAATGTGCCTGTTGTCCTTTGCCACGCCGATTCGTCCACTGTGCTCAATATCGCCAGCAAGGTGCATGGGCACCATAGTTTCTGCCTGCAATGCAACTGTAATAACAGTGGAACAACTCCGCCACGTTGTGCTGCACAGCTCATTTTGGCTGTTCGCCTATCTTTTCGTCTTGGAGCAAGGGGGAGATGAGGGCGGCGCCAGGGACTCAACCCATCATGCAGTCTTGCAGACACCGAAGTACCGACAGCTGGCCAGACCCTGAATCAGCTCCGTCTGCATGCGCCCACTGACAAAAGCACAGAAGAACGTGAGGCAATACACTTCAATGTCCTTGATAATTATAACAGTGGTTGATTGATGAGCCATCAGTTGCTGTTTGTCGTTTTCACTCTTTTGTTGATTGCTGCACATTGCCTCAGCAGCACTATTGTTTGTTGTATATGGCGGTTTCCCTGGTATTTATGCTCTTCAATACCTGCCCATCAATACTAGCATCATCAGCAAGGCCCCTTTCAGTGCACTTTGTGGACTCTGCAGGCTGGGCAACAAGTTATCTCAAGGTGGCTCCCATCTGGAATAATGGCTCCCAAAGTGTCTGTTGTTTCGGTACAGACTCTTGCGTCGCCTCGCCAGCACCACTGCCAAAGAAATCAAACTTGTCCTAGTATGGCGGTCACCTCAAGCATGTTAGCCCTCCGTCGCCTCGCCAGGCAGTCCAAGAATGCATTGATGTCCAGCGTTCCACACGGCCTGCCAAACAGGTGGAAGATGATCTCCAGCTGGCTGTCTGGCAGCACTAACCCACCACAGATCTTTTGCACCAGCCCTGCAAACTCGGCCTTCCCCAGTGGGCCACGGACCTGCTGAAAGAAGCGTGCCCCGGTGCGCAGCAGGTGGGTGTAGTTTACCAGCGTGAAGAATGAAAGGAACTCCTCCTGGTTGAACCGTCTATTCCCGAGGGCCGCATCCATTGAAGACACCTGCAGCCCATGCGGGCGCAGGCACTGGAGCACTAAGAACCCAATTCCTTTTGTTTTCATTGCACAAATATAAGCTGCAGTGGGGAATGAGTAGGGACCTCCATGCTGGTGTTCAGAGCTGCCAGCAGTGGAAGGTAGGTGCTTATAGGTGCCAAGGGGGTATTTTGAACCAATGGAAAGTCCGCATTCTTCAGGCTTCCTGAGCAAGAGGAAATGAACAGCATTATGGCACAAACACTGAGGATAGATTTGTGCCTGTCTTCAGCCTCAGAAAAGCAAGGGCAGTGCTGTTGCCAACATTTCAAGTATTGGCAAAATTGGGGCCAAAGGAGTGGCGGATGCCCCCTCTGGTACGATCCGTCTGTCGGCTCATGCTTGGGAACGAGACAGCACTGAACTTGAGTGTGCCTTCACTTACCTTGTCAAGGTAATTGTCCACGATCCGCACATCTGCAGATGCAATGAGGCTCCGGGCGAAGTCCCGTCCAGTAATCACACCACTGTGATTGTGGTCATAATGGAGGAATTCCATGATTAAAAGCCTTTGTTGAAGCTCCCTCAGAAACGCCTTGAATTCGGAGAGGCTCAACTTCTTTGAACCATCCTCGCCAAAGAAACGAGCCATGAGGCCATGGTTCCTGCAGCCGTGGTCAGTTCAAACAGCTCTAAACCCCCTCCAAATCGCTAGGTCTTCTGCCGTTAATCTTGCTGCATAAAAAAGACAAGAGGTCCCACACCAAGCAGCATCTTAGGAGAAAAATGTTTGCAACTTTGATTCACAGCAAAGGACGATGCATTGATATGCATGGATGATATATCTCCTAATGCAAGAGGCTGTCCCAAGATGAGGCTCATCGAATTCGGCTTTGAAATGGCCATTCCAGCGAGCACAGAGACTGTAGCTCCACGTTCCTTGCAGATGAAGTTCATGCCAAGCTTCTGCCAACACATTGCTTTTTTCATATCCATCAAAAATAGCAAATGCTGCTCTTCACACCATCAAGGCGATTGTGGCCATTTGTCCATTCAGTGGATTCGATGCGATCACCTTCCGGCGAGTGACAAAATGCGCAAGAATGGCCATGCTAACAGATGGACAACAGCTTATATCTGATCCAGAAAACTGTTGCATTACATTTTTTTTCCAACACACAGGGACCTCAAAATGGGGACATGCTGATTGGGCTCCACCAGACAGCTGGCCACTGTCCCCGCTTGATCTTCCTACCTCTTCAAATCCTTGCTGATTGCACTCATCAGCACGATCAACTCCACGACATTTCATCGTGGTGGCTATGTCAGGCACAACACATATATGCAAGTGCTCGGTGACGATGGTTGCTCGCCCATCATCACCTGTTCAGTGTAAGAGCTCCACCCTGTACTTCGCCAAAATCAAATACAACAAACTTAGCTGTCGATACCTTTACATTCCACTCCCCCATCCCACCTGCATGCACTCACTTGTCACCAACAGTGAGGCCAGTCCTCATGCCCCCTCGGCTGGACTTGGCTTGGCGTGACATGTTCTGCATCTGGTCCACGATCTTGTTGAATTCGTTGTGGTCCACATCGCCACTGTTGTCAGCGTCCACGATGTCGAACACGAGCTCCACATCCCGCAAGGGGATGCTCACCAGGGTGAGCATGAGCAGGTACTCAGTGAAGGAGATGAGATTGTCACCGCTGAAGTCAAAGAGTGCAAAGAAATCCGTGTGTTGCCGGGTGGGGCAGACTGGTACAGGGGCCCGTTCGCCTGCAGGGACATGAGCAATGTATGTTGTTTAACTGCACTGGGCAAACAGCGATAAATCACTGCCATTCATGCTTTGTAGACAGCTGCATCACAACTGAGAGTTCAGGTGCCACCTTGTTTCAACGGGGCCAAGACACTTGCATCTGCCCTCTCTGCTCCACTGGACTTTCACCTGCAAGGCAATGACTGCCAAGATTCCCGCCGTGATGCGTGTTCCACAATGTTATGGGTGGAGGTGATGCTGATTTGCTGCAGTTTGCAATGCAGCAATAAGACAAATTCCATTGTCAACCACGGCAGCACGGTGTCAATACTTACAAGGGCACATTGTCTTGCTGTTCAAGTGTGGATGGTGTGGATTTCATTGCCCAAGGTGTGTCCAACCATGTCCACAATTCCAAACAGATCTTTGGCCACTACAGGGATTTCGCCAACAACTATTGGTACAGAGGGTACTGTGATGTTCAAACAAAGTCAGGGCACAAATCATCCATAGGGGACTACCCCTCCCAGCACGAGCCTGAGACTCTTTCCCACCCACACTCGGCAGGTTCTAGGGTTCCTTGTGGCAATGGGATATGCAGTGATTGGTGTCTGCTCCATGGAGGAGGCATGGGGACGACAAGGAAATTCACTAGAAACTGCCCGTGGAGGATTCTTGTTTGTGGCAATGATGGGGATACGATGCCTGACCCTCATGAGCCTCGGCTGGTTGGGGAGCAACAGAGGAATGCAGACAGCGCTTGTGTGGGGTGGAGGGCGCGACACGTTTGACTGCATGGCCAACAAAAAGTGTCCCAAGTCATCTGCGTCAAGGGATTAAAACTGTCCGCAATTGGCAGAGGAGCCCGAGCAGTCTTAGCGAGTGGTAACATTCCAATCCAGAGTGCTCAGGAGGGGGCTAGCCAGTTTGAGACATGCTTTCCCTTTTCCCGAGGCCGAAAATTCACAACTGCACCACCCGCCAATCGCACTGGCAGACAATGGATGGAATGGGACTTTGAGCGCGCGTTCCACCATATCTCTGCGTTGCACCAGGAAACAGCCTGCACTCAGCATCGAAGGCCACCATCCCACTGAACAATTCACCACTAAGGAGCACTTGAATTTGAAACGAACGGGCAGCACCAGGCGGGTGCCCAAACCTCACAGGTGGCAAAACAGACGTCACACCAATCAGCGTGGCGCGCCCCCTCACCCAGCAGCGACCCCGCCCTCTCCAGCGTCGTCCCCTCTGGTGGGTACACCGCCACCAGCGACCGCAGCAGGTCGAAGTGCGTCATGTACTTGACGCCGTCCACCGTCGTGCTGGAGAAGTATTCGAACACCTTCTCCGGCGTGCTCAGCGTCCTGACGCGCTTCTCGTACTTGAAGAACGTGCGCTTGCGCGTCTCCAGCTTGATCAAGTTCCAGGCCTCCGAAGGGGTCGCGCCGCTGGTTGTCATGCCGGGATCCACGCTCTCGGCCGCGTCGGCGCTCGCAACTCCCCCAACGATCGCGCCCAGGCCGGCCAGCAGGCCCAGCAGCGCCAGGCGGGACGGTGCGTCGATCGCATCTTCGCCGCCGGCTGGGGCGGATCGGATTGGCGTGGCGGGAGTCGCGGCGCCGCCCAGCATCCGCAGGATGGTGGGCCACCGCGAGCGCCAGCGGCCGGCCGAGGCCGCGGCCCGCATGCAGGGATCGCTCTTCGGCCGCGATTCCTTCGGGAAGCGCGAGGCCGGAGGAGAACGGGGGCGGAGGGGGGGGCTTGGTTGGGCGCAGGGCCGCGCAAGGGTGACCACGGTGGTGTTTGTTGCGAGATTTACGAAATGCAATGCAGTGAATAGGTTTAAATCGGGTACTGGGCCGTTGGGTGGGAACCTTTGAACGGCCAGCAAAGGTTTTAGTACTTGGCGCACTTGGAGTTAGATGGATGGCGCTGCCGGTTCTCAAGCTTGGAAAGCCAAGGCTCAGTGAGAAAGAGTTCGCCGCTATTCTTAAAGTTGTGGTCAAGTTATGGGCAGCGCCTGGGCGAACCGGGCGCGGTTGGTTATGAAGCCCAGGAACCGAACTGAGCGGCTGTTTGCACCAGTGAAAAACTGGTTCACAGTGATCTGGGCAAACGGGGAACTTGGGACTTAAGGTTGACGAAACGAGCTTGTGGCTATCTCGTTTTTCGCTTCGCCGTCACGCGTCAAGCGCTCTCCTCTGAGCTCCGCGCTCGGTTTCCTAGCTAAGGAAAGCAATCGATCATGATCTGCGATCGTGATAGCAATCCAGACCCCGCTGGTCTGTGGTCCACCCCTTGATGGGCGATCCTGCTGCTCGCTTGGCCGCCCTTGAAGCGCAAGTCCAAGCACTCCGCGGGGAACTCGCTCCCGCGCAGCCCCCCGCCGATCCCGCGGCCATTGCTGCCGCTGCGGAGGAGGAGCGCCTCCGTCAAGTCCAGCGGGACGACGCGGCGCTCTTGACGACGCTGCGGGATCTCTGCATTTGGTATACCGGCGATCGGGCGGAGGAGGTCGCTGCCCACGCCATTCGCACCAAGGAGGAGTTGTCCCACTTCGCGGGGAACCCCATTCCGCGGCCCCCTTCCGCCAACAAGGCCGGCGCCCCCTTCCCCATCTCCTCTACGGCTTGGGGCCAAGATCTGGCCGCCACCCTGGGCGCCGGCAGCGGTTTCTTCCAAGAGCTCTGCACCTGGGCCCCCATCACCTCCTACCTCTTCGACATCGTCGCCACCCTCCTCCAGATTATGTCGTCCGAGGACTTTTCCCCCGACTCCCGCCGCCAACTTCGAGGCATCGTCGACGCCCTCCACGCCGTGCTTCAAGGCGCCCTTTGCAACGTGCACGTGCACGAATTGCGTGCGAAGCACGGCGGCGACATCGCCGGCGCCTTCTCAACGCAGCTCCGCCTGTCCGGGGCGCACTATGCCGCCGTTCCCGAAGAAATCGTCGACTTTGACCGCCGCATCACCGACAAGGTCGTGGCCGCCGTCCAGAAGCAGGCCGCCGCCCGCGCCGCCTCTTCCCACAAAGGCCGCCCCCGTGGTGGCCAGCGCGGGCGCGGACGCCGCGGCAGTCGCGGATTCGGTGGCCGCGGCCGCGGTCGCAACTTCGGCGGAGGTGCCCCCAGCGCCTCCAATTGATGGCCCCGCGGTACACCGTCCGTCAGCAAGCGACGGCCGTCCCCCGGCGGGCGGCCCCGACCCCCGCCCCGCCGCCTCCAGACGCGGGCGCGGCGTCCTCTTCGGGCACCCAGTTACCGGCCTTGGGCCCCCCTCCTCCCGCTGACGTGGCGTACGACTGGGACCTCGTCCTCCCCGACGCTCCCCCGCTCGACCTGCTGGGCCCCAAGGCCCCTACTGGCCGTGCGCAGGCCCCTCTGACTGCGGCTCCGCTGCCTCCTCCAGCCCCACCTGCCGCCGCCACCGATCATGCCGCGCTTCCCCGGCACCAGCCCGGCCCTGGCAGCCAAGCGGACCCGATCCTTGTGGAGGAAGCTTCGGATCGATCCGCGGACCTTCCCTTACCAGCGTGTGAGGTATGCCATCGCAGCTTGGTGGTGGATCGGTGCCAATCTCACCATTCTCTCTTGGATCAACGAGGGTTTTTGACTGCCTTTCTCTCGCCCTCCTACCCCGTTCGATATGGGCAATTTTGTGTTTCAAGGCGACGATCTGCCCATTTGGGAGGCCACTTTGGAGAAATACTTGCGGCTTGGTGCCTTACGGCCGGCTTCCTATTCTTCACATGTCAGCCGGGCATTTCTGCTCCCGAAGCCCGATGGCTCCAAGCGCCTGATTGTCGATCTCAGGCCTCTCAATGCGTTCATCGCGGATCGCCGATTACGGATGGCCTCCTTGCGCGAGCTGGAATTTGGCATGCATACGGGCGATTATATGGTTGCTTGGGATATTGCCGATGCCTACTTTCATGTGGCCTTACACCCAACGCATGTGCGCTATTGTACCATATGGGTGAACGGCCTCCTTTGGGAGATCCCGGTGCTCCCGTTTGGTTTGAAGTCGTCCGCCTACGTGTTTTCGAAAGTGGTGGCAGTGCTGGTCCGTTTTTTGCGTGCCCCCCGGCTCAGCATGCCCCGGCAGCCCCACTCGTGGTGGCCGGGTCTCGCTGCCATCTGGCGCGCCAATCTGGCGATCTTTCTGCTACCCTACCTCGACGATTTCCTGGCGGTGCATTGTTCCAGCCGGGATCTCCGTCATTTTGCTCTCAATTTGCAGCCCGCCCTGCACGATCTGGGTTTGCAGCTCAAGCCGTCCAAATCGACGCTCCTCCCTACCCAGGAGTTGTCCCACCTGGGCTTTGTGGTCAACTTCAGGTCAGCCAACTTGGCGGTCCCTCCCCCGAAGGTCGATCAGATTCGAGTCCAGGCCACGACCCTGCTGGCCATCACTTACCGTCAAGCCCGGTGCCTCAAGGCCAAGCTCCTCGCCCGCTTCCTGGGACAAGTTCAGTTTTTGGCCTTGGCAGTGAAGCCCGCCCGTTTCTTTCAGCAGAATCTCCACTAGGCCTTGGCCACCAAGACTACGTGGCGCAGCATGGTCCGCCTTCCCCGGGCAGCTACACGAGATGCAATTCTGGCAGCAGCTACCGGCCCGATTTCAATCGGCCCCCTTCCTCCGTCCCCCGCATCAGGCCGTGCTGGCCACCGATGCCTCCCTTCTGGGTTGGGGGGCGGAGTTGACCGATCCAGTGCCCTTGGTTCAGCCCCACGTAGCCCCAGCCTTGGCACGGGGGTTCTGGTCCCATACCGAGCGGCTCCTGCACATCAACGTGCTGGAGCTCGAAGCGTTGATCCGAGCCGTTCGCTCGTTTCTGAGCCGGCTCCAGGGCCGGCATGTGCTTTTGATGACGGACTCCCAAGTGGTCTACCACCTGCTGCGATCGTTCAAGTCCAACGTCGATCCACTTTACAAGAGATTACAGCAGTTGTTCTACATTCTGGACACCGCCCGGATCGTGTTCCAACCCCGCTGGATCCCCACGGCCGACAACGTTGCTACGGCGCTGAATGCCCCGATTCCGCGCGGCCTCGATGCCGCCGGTCTCCGGCTCTCGCGGCACCCGGTGGGGAGATGCACAGCGCGTCAATCCCCCTCTCGCCCGGCCCGGAATGTGCGGGTCGGGTGGCGCTCTGTCGGGGTGCTCGCTGGCTCACTCCGCGTCGGTGGGCCCAGGGACGCGGTCGCGTCGGGCGGATGCGGCTGTACAGCGGGCGGATGCAACAAGGTTGGCGTACCGCGGGGCACGCCTCTCGTGGGCACGACTGAAGATCAGTCAGAAAAGAAACGAATGTTACAAAAGGGCAAACAGCTGCCCTTTTTATACTGCGTCAAGCGTCCAGAAACTTCCTGGAGGCCACGCAACCCAAACGGGGCATGACTCAGCCCCAGGTGCTCCCCTTCGTACCGGAGCCAAGGGGGACCGCCCCCAATGTATCCAATAACATTATAAAAGGTCCCCCACAGTACTGTAAGGGGACAAAGGCTTCTAAATAAAGAGGGAAGTCCAGCACTAGGGACTTTCCCTTAGAAACCTTGGGGCCCAAATGCCCAAACGTCCCAGATTCGCTAGTGACCTCAATAATGGTCTTTCACTTCCCTTAATGGTAGAATTAAGCGGGGAATTGATTACCCCCTCAAATTTCCTTAACAGTACCTCCCCCTGGGGGTAGTTTCGCCCTCGAAACGTAGAACTCAACCAGTTCAATATCAATTATCCTCTACTGGTTGATCCCGCTTAATCATCTTCTTCAATTCCTCCTGGGAAGTGAAATTCCCTGCTGGGGTCCAAGAGGCGTCATCTATAGACCAATTTTTCCACAGCACCAGGAATTCTTTGGTCTTCCTCTTGGCATGAGGATCCCGCCAACGCCAACGCAATAATTTCTCCACATCATATTCACGGTCATCCTCTGGCTCGATTTCCTCAACCTGATCCTCAATAGTGGGGTGCTCCCATCTACTTGTCCTGAAAGGACGAAGCACACTTACGTGGAAAACATTGTGAATTTTCCATGTATCAGGGAGTTCCAATTCGTAGGCTACGGGTCCCACCTGACGAACCACAAAGAATGGCCCCACGAATCTTCTTTTGAGCTTCCTGATGGGAGCACTTTTAAGCTGCAAGTGCTCAGTAGACAATAGCACTTGCTCCCCCACACTGAACATCAATTCCCTTCTCCTCTTATCAGATTGAGTCTTCATTCTCTCCTGCGCCCTGTGCAGTAAATTGACCGCATTGGAGAAATTTGCCTTCATCCAATCCACAAAGGCGTTGACTCCTTCCATCAGCGTGGAGTCATAATCTCGAATGAGATCTATGGGCGTACAGGGATGATAGCCATAATTCAGATAAAATGGCGTATACCCTGTTGATTGCGCTGGGGAGTTGTTGATAACAAACTCCACTGTTGGCAATAATGACTCCCACTTGTCCGGCTTCTGAATAGTGGTCAATATACATCGAAGTACCATCTCTACCACCCTATTCATCGCCTCTGATTGTCCATCTGTCTGAGGGTGGTAAGCACTGGACATCCTCAATTTGCTGCCCAAAATTTTCCAGAACTCCTGCCAAAATTTGGATGTGAATCTTGGATCACTATCACTCACTATGGAGCGTGGGATTCCATGCAATCTGCCCACTTTATCCCAGTAGAGACGTGC